AAAAAAAATTACTTGCCTGTGATATTAATTATACTGTTTGATGCTTTCCACATTCCATTGGGTCACCTTTGGAACAGGCACAAATATAGATCTCTTCCAATCAGTTGGCCAGGTAGTTGTCTTCCAAATTTCTTGACCTAGATAAGTGAGTGCCACAAGTGCTGCATCAATTTTTTGAAATATTTGAATTTATATTCCATCAGTCTGGAGCCTTCTTTTTTGGCCAATGCCTTCAATACAGCTTGGACTTCTTCCTTTAGTATCAATTGATTCTTGATCATATGGCATTGTGACTATGTATCCCTTTCATCGTCTTTTGATGCCTTCTGCGTTATTCAATATTTTGCCCATTTGTTGTTTTTAAGTGTTATTCAGTTGGTTTCAACTCAAAGCGACCCTATATAGAGTTTCCAAGGAGAGACTGGTTGGCTTGAACTGCTGACCTTGTGAGTAGCAGTCCAGTGCTTATCCTACAGCACCACACCAGGACTCCACTTTTTTTGCCCATTAGAATTATTTTTGCCCAATAGAATTATTCAATATAGCAAATAGATGCTTGAATTTTTCTTCAGTTCCTTCAGCTTAAGAAATGCTGAGCGTGTTCGTTCCTTTTCGTTTTCTAACTCCAGGTCTTTGCACATGTCATTATAATACTTGACTCTGTCTTCTTGACAAAGTCATGACCCGCCCTTTGAAATTTTCTGTTCAGCTCTTGGACTGTCTCATTTCTTCCATTTGCTTTAGTATTTATGCTCTGGAGAACAAATTTCAGAGTCTCTTCTGGCATTCATTTTCATCTTTTCTTCCTTTCCTGTCTTTTGAATGACCTTTTACTTTCTTGTTTATGGTGTTCTTGATGTCATCCCACAGTCTTCAGTGAATAGTGTCTAATCCATCAAATCTTTTCTTGAGTTGATGTCTAAATTCAGGTGGAATATGTTCAAGGTCATATTTTGACTCTTATGGACTTGTTTTTATTTTCTTAAGTTTCAATCTGAACTTGCATATGAGCAGTTGATGGTCTGTTCCACAGCCTTGTGTGTGGCTGATTCTATTGAGCTTCTCCACCATCTCTTCCCACAGATATAGGCAATTTGATTCCTGTGTATTCCATCTGGTGAAGTCACCTTTTGTGTTGTATAAAAGGAATTTTCAATGAAGAAGTCATTGGTAATTTCTATCACCAAGGCCTTATTTTCCAGCTACTGATCCTTCTTTGTTTTCAGCCTTTGCAATCCAATCAGTAGTAATTATCAATACATCTTGATTGCATGTTTGATCAGTTTCAGACAGAGAAGTTGATAGAATTCTTCAGTGTCATCATCACTGGCTTTAGTAGTTGGTGCATAAATTTGAATAAGTATTAACTAGACTTCCTTGTAGGCATATGAATATTATACTATCACAGACACCATTGTACTTCAGGATAGATTTTTTAAGTTTTTATTGTGAATTGAGTGATAGTTTACATGGGAGAACATCGATTTTACATTCATCGTTTCATTGCAATGATTACAGTCTTCTGAGATAGATTTTGAAATGTTCTTTTTGACGTTCCTCTTCAATTTGACATTTCCAGCATAATAAGCCATGCGATTGTCAGATTCAGAATAGCAAGTAGCATTCCATTTTAGCTCACTAATACCTCGGATAGCTATCATTATGTGTTCCATTTCCTTTTTCGGCAGCTTTTAATTTTCCTGCATTCATACTTCATACGTTTCATGTTCTACCGCTGTTTCTCCTCATTTTGAGTTGTGTGCCACCAGCAAAGAAAGTCCTGAAAACTTTACTCCATTTTCATCATCATGGTCAACTCTACTTTGAAGATTCAGCTCTTCCTCAGTCGTGTTTTGAGTGTTTTCCAACCTGAGGGGCTCATCTTCACACACCATATCTGGCAGTGTTTTGGTGCGCTTCATACTATTTTAATCTCCTGGCACTATACCTGATATTGTCTCTCTATTATTCATATTTTTCAGTGGTTAAACATTCAGAGGTAGTCTGAGCCTCCTTCTAGTCTGTTTTAGTCTCAAAACTCTGGTGAAAACTATCCTTCATAGGTGACCCTGATAGTATTTAAAATACCTATCTCATAGCTTCCAGCATCACAACAACACATAAACCACAAGTGGTTGATACATATGCTAAACTCCCTTTTTTAACTACAGGCTTTCAAATAGCATTTTTAAAGAAGTTCACCATTTATATTCTGATTGTTAAAAACATACTTAAGACTGTTCATAACAAAGGGAAGGACAAATATATCAGGCAGATGCTAGCAAAATAAAAGAAATAAAGTACCAATAATAATACCATCCGAAATGAAATTTAAAGTTTTAACCAAAAATGTTACCAGTAGAAAAAAATGATACAAGCTTGTGTAATTTTTTATTCTCTTCCTCTTTCCTAAATTTTTAGCATATTCATGTCACAGTCAGCATAATGGGATTCACCCTTATTGAACATTCTTTCAGTATGTTTAAAAAATATCAATACATCTTCTTGCTTATAATTATTCATGTAGTTTCTGTAGTATACATGATTTATCTGGGAAAAGCTAATGTGTCTAATCCTTAAATCATTACAACAACATGTATTTATCAGGTACAATTACACATATATATGTTATCACCTGTGTTTTCTGACATTATGTTATCATGTTGCTAAACCTTCCTATTCAGAACGCCAAATTAGACTGAGGTAATTTTTTGATAAGACATGGTTTCCAGAGACTAAGCATGTTGCATGACTTACTTGCCTCACTGAGACCTCACATCAGATAACACTTGTCTAAAAAAATGGAGGAATATGAATTCATTAAAATTAATTTAGCATTGTGTTTGTTCTGTATATATTATTTAGTTCTTTTTTTGTTTTCTTTTTTAAATATAGCAAATGCTGCCTACCTTGGGGGCCAAGAAATGGTGCAGGTGGTGGAGAGAGACAACGAAACCATAAAGAAACATTTATCTAAGGTAATTGCTTTAGTGCTGCAAGGGAATAAGAAAGCAAAGTATTTTGCTTTTTTTTTTTAATGATTTTTTTATGATTAAGATGGCAGAAGTATTTACTGAGGCTCGAAGACTAGAACTGTTAGAATCTTAAGACCTCAAAGGTGTGTAGATTTCAGATAGAACTCTACTTCTAGTTAAAATTAATGCAATCCTTGAAAGTTTCGTAGGGAGTGAAGCTAAATTAGTTATTAAAACATATTTTACCACCTGCTTTTACTGAATTCATTTTCAGAATCAGTACTTTGCTATTTTGTCACTCTTTGTCAAATTCTCTAGGACCTTTTTCTAGGAAGATTCTCAGTAATATTGATAGAATAAATGAATGAGTTACATTAAAATAAAACTTCGGAAAAGAACTGATATTACATATACCTGATGACTAGTGAGTCTCTCTTTTTTTCTAGCCTATCTGAGTAAGAATGGTTAGCTCTGATATCGATACCAGTTTTCTATATATTCAGAAACAGAAAGGCAAAGATTAAAATATTCAGTATTTGTGAATTACTGCTACAAATGCTAGAATCTTGCACAAACATATTTAGAAACACTACTCATGAGAATTTAAGAGAACCATGGTCCAGAATATATCTGAGCACACTAGAATTTGGCATCTTTGGTACTTCTATGGCATCATTTGTCTGTCTTTCCATCCTGAACAGAATAGAACTATGTAAAAGTATGATATATGTTGTTATTGTTGTTGTGAAGTGCCGTCGAGTCGATTCCAACCCATAACAATCCTGTATAAGGTTTCCAAGGAGCGGCTGGTGAGCTTGAACCACCAACCTTGCAGTTCAAACAGCTTTGCAGTCTGATGCATTAGCCTACAGTGCCACTTGTTTGTGGCGAGTCTGAATTGAAATGCTTTGTAAGTAAGTGATAATGTTTTAGATAATATTGGCTTAAATAAAAGAGTCCCTTGGTGGTGCAACAGTTAATTTGCTCAGCTGCTAACTAAAATGTTAGAGGTTCAAGTCCACCCAAAGGTGCCTTAGAAGAAAAACCTGGCAATCTGTTTCTAAAAATCATCCACTGAAAACCCTTTAGAGTATAATTCTACTCTGATTTATACAGTGTTACCATGAGTCAGAATTAGCTCAATGGCAACTGGTGGTCTCTGAATACATTTATAATCCGAGGGTTTTTCCAAAAGTTCATGGAAAAATTCTGAAAATTTCATAAAATTGGAATTTATACTTTGAGACTATTAGCTAAAGGCAGGTTTTTAAAAAGAAAAGATTAAGTGAGGGAAGGAAACTCATCACATTAATGGGGGTAGGAAGAGGTTAGAAATAAGAAGCAAGCATGTTGTTGTTAAGAGTCATCAAGTCAATTCTGACTCATAACAACCGTGTATATGTTTTCCAAGGAGCAGCTGGTGGGTTTGAACTGCTGAGTTGGCAATTAGCAGTCCAGTGTGTATTCTGCAGGCACACCAGGACTCTCCCACAAGCCACCATAGCCAACGCAAATCTAGATGGTCAGATATCTTATACATATGCTTGTTGTTGCTGTGGTTAAGTGTCATGGAGCCAGTTCTGACTCAGGGTGACCTTGTATAGGGCTTCCAAGAAGCGGCTGGTGGGTTTGAACCATCAACCTTGCAATTAACAATCCAGTGTTTATCCTACAGCACTACACCAGGACCCATATATGGTAAACCCCTTTATTTAAAAACAGGCTATCAAATAATTTTTTAAAAGAAGTCAATCATTTATATTGTGATTGAAAGACATACTTAAAGCTGTTGAATTCAAAGGGAAGGGCAGGTATATCAGGCAGATGCTAACAAAAAAATATAATGTGGCTCACATTATACTGCCTTTGGAAACAGCACTAGTCTAGAGCTTTGCACTCAGTGCTGAACTCTGACATCTGCCAGGTACAAAGAAATGATCCCTTCTGAGTGGCCAATTCATATAAGAACAAGCAGCAACAGTCTACAAGTAAAATCCTAGATCACGTACTAACTTTAGAATTTCATCATAAACTGTAAAAACATAAACCTACGTACAAGGTTAATTCATATTTTTATGACCTCCCAATAAAATTATTTTAAAATAAGAAATACATATATCCTTTAAAAAAATTTTTTCAGAATATTAATCTGTAGAAGCTCTACCCAGTGAGGATTTTCAAAATGCTAATCTAACATTTATGACCATTGTGTTTATATTTCTAAAGGACATTGGCTAGATATTGAGATTTTGAAACCAAGAAAAAGCCCAACTAGCTGAGTGGGAACCCAGAACGGACTTGCTTCTTCAGAGACATAAAAATATAAGAAAAGCAATATTTTATTTTCAGTTAAATTATAAGTAACTCTGTTTCAAAAATGCATTTTAAGTTCTCAAGTTTAGAAGTTTATAAAAACAACTCAACTCTCAATAATAATAAGACTGGCAGACAATTCACTTCCAAACTTCACACTTGCTGAATGACTAGACCCAGCTTGTCTCACAGCCGGTCTTAGCACCTGTTAGGAGCCAGCTGCTGTAAATACTCATTGGATTCTGTTTGTATGTTGTGCTCAGAAGGAGGTCAAAGAAAGGTGCTAACTTATTCCAGTCCTAAGTTAAATCCATATGCAAGTGTAATCATTCCCAGAAAGGAGTCTGTTTGTGGTAACTGTGTCAGGGTTGTAAGGTTTACTGTAACTTTTATGGAAGAAATATGAATGTATAATGGGAGACATTTCAAGGTTAGTATTGACATGCATTTACAGGAGGATATAGTTTTGTTTTGTTTTTAAGACAGCATAATGTATTTGTGAAATTTAGGGGGAAGCAAGGCACTGTTTAATGATGCAAACTACCTTGCCAAATAGGTCAACACAGCGAATTGATTATCTTCTACCAGCTTAAGTTTGTATTAGAATAATGCAAATCCAATTCCTAAATAAAACTAGAGGGACAGGAAGCTTATTTCAACTGTTTTTCTATAATGAAAAAGAGGAAACATGCTGTAATTTAATATTGGTAAAAGTGAAATCACCAAAATATTTCCCAGTCCGGTCAAGAAAATAAGGAAACTTGTAAAGGTAAATAATTACAGGAGCGCTATGAATTGAAACCCTAACAAAAACACTAACAACACTGTGTCATGCAGACAGATTTCGGATTCTTATTTCTCCTCTGGAAAATGATAATTCCACAATCAGTAGCACTGGTTCTAATTTCAAAATTTCTACCCCTAAACTTCTTTTGTCCACGTGACGAGAACTTTTTATCTTCTTAAGGTAAATGTACCTTCTTGACTCTGGGAAATCTGCTGGGCTCCAACATCTGGAGATTTTATACACAGTATTGGACAGTTGTATATATTTGCAATGTTTCCATATTGTATAGTTATTTCCTTTTCTTGGAGCAAATTAGGCAAACTAATAGTTGTTTCCAAAAGAACATGTGGCTCTGTAGGCTAATGCGTCAGACTGCAAAGTCATTTGAATTGCAAGTTCAGTGGTTCAATCTCACCAGCTGCTCCTTGGAAATCCTGTACAGGGTCGCTATGGATCAGAATCAACTCAACGGCACTTCACAACAACAACAATACCATGATTTATAGCATTATTTGTTGTTGTTATTGTTAAGTGCTGTCTATTCGGTCATGACTCATAGCGACCCTGTATATGGTTTCCGAGAAGTGGCTGGTGAGTTTGAACTGTCAACCTTGTGGTTAGCAGTTCAGTTCTTATCTTGCAGCACCACACCAGGACTCTATGGCATCATGGGGTATGTTGTTTCTTCACCTGACTAATCTGCTTGTCTCCAGTGTCATCTCCAAGAGAACTTCCTCAGCCCCTGAATTGAATTGGATTCCCTTCCCTGGGCTTCCAAAGTATTCAAACCACCAGCCTTCCCCAACTTTATGGTGAAAAACAGTGTTTTTCTCATCTTGACATCCTCTGGGGTCTAGCACAGTGCATGATACATATATAGTAAGCAGTCAATAAATGTAGATGGCTGAAAGGACAGATGGATAAGCAAATCATTAGACTATAAATTCCAAACCTTTGCTGTATAAGTAGTTGAGCTCTCTCAAAAAGTGTAATGTTTTTAAGTGTAAAAAATAAATTGTTGTAGTTGTTAAGTGCCATCAAGTCAGTTCTGACTCATAGTGAACCTTGTATAAGATAACGAGGAGCAGCTAGTGAGTTTGAACCACTGACCTTGAGTTCAAGTGCTTATCCTATGGCACCACACCAGGACTCCAATAAAATAAATAGGTTATAAAAGAACCACTTACATTGAAATTTAGTTATCAGGAGCCCTGGTGTGGCACTGTAGAATAAGCACTGGACTACTAAATACAGGATCAACAGTTCAAACCCACCAATCACTCTCAGAAACCCTATATAGGATCACTATGAGTGACCTTGGGAATTGACTCGGTGGCACACAACAACAACGTAGTTATCAGAATTTTTTTTTTTAATTTGTAATATTATAGTTTGTGCATATTTATTAACATAGTAAATAATGAGATGTAATATCAGTCAGGAGACCTGGTGTGGTGCTGCAGGATAGTATGCTGGATTGCAAGGTCAGTTTGAGCCGCAGGGTCGACGGTTCAAACACACCAGTCGCTCTTCGGAAACCCGATACAGGGTCGCTATGATTTGGACCTGACTCAACAGCATTTAACAACAACACTATCAGCTATAGTAACTATTGTAAGTTCATAATGATGAGCATAAATAATGTTAGTTGTCTGCAACAAGTTTACTGTGATTTGAAATGATCTGTAATTAGCGGTGACAAAATATAGACATTACTTACACTGCTGCGGTTTGTTGCCTATATTCATACTAAAAGGAAATACCAAATTAAAGAGGTTAACAAAAATAAGGATGTAAGTTTCTCCATCCAATTTACGTTCTCGTACTTCTGTCTATAGTCTTACATGGACCTTAATTCCCAAGTGAAGAAGTCTTGCATTAGAGAAACTAGAAAAGATTTGTT